CCCGCCCCGCGAGGCCAGCCGCTGTCACCCTCCTTGAACGGACGGGTTTGTAGCTTGGAAGTCAGTCTGACAGGCGGGGAAGATACCTGTTCCACACAGCAAATACAGACTCCAAAGCACAGCTCCTCGTTAATCTTAATCACAGTCAGACAGAAAAGCCCTGGCACTTCACAGCGATAAATTACGTCAGAAGCACGGACCGCTGACCACAGGACTGCTGTTCCTGCAGCCTGGGGAACCCAGCCTTCCAGCCACAGCCCCGGGAATTGTCACCTGCCACTGCCAGTCTCTGCAGCAAACGTCTGCAAAGCTGTTGCCGGATACCGGAACTCTGGAAATCTGGGAGCAGATTAAAAACCTTAACGAGTCCAATTAGCCCACCAATTCCACAAGATTTGCACAGAGTATGGAAACATTTCTCCGAGTCTGGTGCGGATTAAGAGACAAAATGGAGGGAGCGCTGCTTGTGTTCCCTTAATTTGTACCTTACACAGGCCAAACTGGCACGAACTCCCTCCGGCACGCCTGCAGCCTACCCTGGCTGAACAAACCAAGCTCCATCCCCAGCTGTTTCACGGCTTTCCCTCCCCGATGTCGTAAGGCGTGACTTGCTCCGTCCTGCCAAAACCCACGCGGGCTCTACCCGACAGCCCTGCCTCCACGCAGCACCCTGTGAGAAGTCACCCAGGGAGCGGGCAGGACCCCGGAGCCCAGCGGGCTGGGCTGTGGAGCAGGGCTCTGCTGGGAGCACACGTCCAAAGGCAGCACGGCTGCGGTCAGGTGAAGGACACTGCCACAGGCACCTCTTGATTCCGAGTGCTTCATCTCGCCACACTGAAAATGTTAATTTGAACCTTTTGCCTGGGTAACATTTGCAACAAACTAATTGGCAGCTGAGCGTGGTGAGGGATCCTCTCTGTCCTGCTCCTTGCCTCTGTCTGAAGCCTCAGGATTTAGAAGAGCACTTCATATCTCTCCAGCCGCCTTCTCAATCAGAAATGACATTTTAAGGCTAACAAAGCAAAACAAATGAAAATACAAGTAGATACAGCAGCAAAGAGAACAAACTGGAGAAATTTATCTTTTTGCTGGGGGAAAGCAGGAGAGGGGCACCGCGCGAAACTCTGGACATCAGCGCGGTGGCACGGTCCTGCACCGTGTTCTCTGCACACACCTCCACCCCTCTGCTCACAAAGACACCAGCGCCGGGCAGGTGTCACGGGTTCTTCTCTCTGCGCACAGAGCAGGGCGGGCACAAGATGCTGCTCAGGGTCTGTGTAATTTAGCACAAAGTGTTGCTCCCCAGTCACACCATCTAGAGAGACCCCCGGTGCTGCGCTTTCCCGTCACGGTCCCGTTCGTAAACCCTCCACGCCTGAAGAAGGCTTTGGGCTGAGGATGCTTACGCTGCTTATGCAGGTACACAGAAGCTGAGGCACGACATGAGACACGGCCCACAAAATCCAGGGAGACGTCGCTGCTGGCCTCTCCTCCCTCTGCTGTCCCGGCACGGCTCCAGAGCTCCGAAGCTCAAAGAGCAGGGACCAGGTTCCACCGTACTCTTGCACCACATAAAAATCAGTTAAATGGCTATTGTTGAAACCATTTCCAAATTTCCTCTAATGAGAAAGGCGAATCAAAGGATTTACTGCCAAACATCAGTTTCACCTGTTATTTACATTTAACAGAAGCAAATGGCTGTAGCCTGCGTCACTTGGCAAATCCCAAAACGCCTCTGCTCAGAAACAGCCACGTTTGTGCTTCTTGTGGTCCCAGAAGGCCATGCCCAAGAACACAGATTAAATGCAGCAGCAAGAGAGCTTCAAGGTCACGTTACTGACCTTCAGGGCTTGCTACAGGTTAGGGAAGGTGCAGCTGTACAACCAAATGACCTGAAAACAGACTTCATTTCTGCAGTGTAGCCCCCTAACAGAAATCTACTGCGTGTACTTATTCAGCACAGTTTCTGCTACATGAAAGCTGATGGATTTAGCTGTAGAGGATCACCACTGCCAAACGTGGATTCTTATCTCTCTACCAGGGCTTCCTCTTGCATGTTGGTGGAAACTACAGAAGACGTGTCCCAGTTCAGAGTCTAGCCTGCAATCCTGAACAAGTGATGAGGAGGGGTTTGCATGAATGAGCTGAACTGGGAATCACAGACACTTTGGTGATTCCCACCACCCTGAAGGAGGAGGGTGAACCTGCGGCAGGGCAGACAGCACGCGGGCGGCCGCTCCCGAAACCACCTCTTCCTCTTGTACTGGTGCAGATGAGACAGAGCCCTAGTTCAGATACAGACATCCAGTACAATACACCAGCAACGTACAGAATCATAGTATGGTTTGGGTTGGAAGGGATCTTTCAAGGCCAACCAGTCCAACCCCCCTGCAGTGAGCAGGGACAT